TCCAGTTCATCTGTTTAAAGGACAATGCAGACCATTCGAATAATGCGCGCACCCATCTGAGTATTGATTTTTCAAACCCAGTCGCTGAACGAATGATTGGCTTACATGCAAACCACGAAGGCACTGCTTTGCGTTCTGCAGATTCTTGCGCTCTACTCCGGAGTGGATAGTCAGGGTACGGTAGTTTCATGGGGTCTCTGGTCGGAGTGGCCGGTCTCCTGTTCGGTATCTTGTGGCACCGGACAACGCTGCAGGGAACGCAAATGCCTAGATGGATTCGGAAAAATTCATAAACCCAGTCTGTGCGCCGGACCAGGCAAGAGTTCGGAGACTGAGTGCTCAACCTGTGTCATTTCCAGTAGGTGTCCACAAAAACCCGGATGGAGCGAGTGGTCCGAGTGGTCTAGGTGTGAACTCATAAGAGATCAAGCGAACAAGAAGCCAGACAGTCGTGGATGCCGGCCAGGAAACAGGGTTCGCAGGCGCCTTTGCAACAACCCCCCACCAGAACCCGGTGAAAACAGCATAACATGTACGGGTGAACCGCAGCAGGTGAGAAAGTGTCCCTATGGCTGTCCGGATATTCCAGTTTTGGAGGACTACAACATTAATGCGCGCGTTGGCAGTCAGGTGGAACAAGATCACCTACAGAGACGTATCAGTCTCAGAAGCACTGGCCCCGTTGAGGAGGTTGTTAAGATCCGAGCTATCGGAGAGAGCGTTATTTTTAATTGCGATACTCCGGCCTACCGGTTGGCGAAGGAACTCGCGGATGCTCGAGTCCTAAGCGCAGTCCAAGCGGGTCTGCCTGCGCGCCAACTACGTGTCTCCTGGCGGTTAGGTGGCCGACCAATCACAAAAGAGGCTCCTGCATTGAAGGAGCCAATCAGCAAAACGCAAAAGCACCTCCAGGACGAAGAGACTGTCTGGCTGGGCAAACTAAAACGCGGTGATGTTGAAGTTCGAGAAGCCCAGCTAATCGTGCCAAATTTGAAGCCTGGCGACGCTGGCCTGGTCACCTGTCACCTCTCAATCGGCCAAGCTCAGTGGACAGCAATATTCTTCACCCTCATTGTCCTTGACCAACGTTTCTCGGCGCCAGCACTGATGCCCTTTTACTTACACTCTGGTGTCGGCTTTCAAAGTGCGCTCTCTGTGCCCAATCTGCACTGGTATGATGCAGCCAGACTGGTCTGGAAGCAGAACGGTGAGGTTCAGTTCACTGATCTCGTGGCTCGGACCGGCGCGCGAATCCGACGCATCGCGCACCTCAATAACACGCATCAGGGCCAGTGGGACTGTTTCCTCGTGATTCCCTTGCCTGGCGCGCCCACAGTTCAGGCCTCGGAAAGCACTTTCACGGTCTCCGCTGTCTACTGGGTAAATTCCTTCTTTCTACGGGTTGCGCCAGAACCCCTCACGGTCTGGGAGCTGGGTGACAGGCCGCCAGCCACTGCGAAGATGCGGCTGATCTCTCTGATCAGCTTCACTATTTGTCTGTGTCTGATCGCTGCGGTGGCAATGACAGTATGGGCGGTATGGCGCTGGGTGACGCGAAGTCCAAAAGTTGAACAGTTGCAGTGTTGCGTGGAGGAGGAATTGGAGGACAGAACGCGACTTGTGTTGACAGCACAGCACAGGGCACACACTAACAGGGAGTTATTAATACCCCTGGTGGAGAGGGAGGAGGAGGCTATTGTAAGCATGCGAACAGAGGATCAGATCACAGAGGATGAGATCACAGGGGAAAGACCATCCATAGGTGATCTGTCATTCAGATTTGACTGATTCAACACTCTTTCGCCTCTAGATCCCCTTTGGTATCTTGTCACGGCAACTGCCGCCTCTCCATGCGTGTGTGTG